AAATATATAATTTTTAAAAAGCAGTTGTGGTTTGTTTACTAGAAGATTCATCACTTTTTGGTATCTAGTTTATTTTTGTTTCCTCAGCTCTCATATTGGTTTAAAAATCTTTGCTTTAGAGTTTTTACATTTTCAGCATGTAAAAGTAAGTTTCTATGTGGTAACCCAAACCAAAAAACTTTCAAAACATAACATATACACCTAATGAGCCTGGAGTAAATCCTAAGAAAACAAAGAAAGCTGTAAGCACAGAGTCCTCGTCCCCATTGAGTCTTGTGCATTGTCAGATGTTGTCACCTATCCTATAATCGACAGCATAAGAAGTAAACCTTTCTTGCTTGAATAATAGCCACCACTTTGCTGGAAACAGTTTGTCGAGTAAAATAAAATGTCAAGACAACTTTAGAATGACCCTCTCAGAGGAACATCTTCTCTTTATGTGAATTAAAAAACAAACAAAAACAAGAGAATATAGGTTGAAGGTATATGAGTAATGATAGCACCTAAAATCTGTGATTTTTTAAAACATTAATTAAAACCAACAACAACCCCCAAGCATGAGAAACAGAAAGAAGGGATAAATCACAAACAAGCACTATGATGGCATTCAGGAATTGAAAGAAGTGATACTTATTAAACTAACAGGAGATGACAGCTTTGCACACATAGAAGCGTGTATATGAGCAATTTCTCATAGGCATCACTTAGAGGAGATTGGAGATGATCTACTTTTGAAGAAAAGGGGCTAAAATTTCCCATAACAAATGGCTTAAATCAGTAAGCAAAAGCAGTCTATGGAACCCATCCTATCAAGAGATGGTTTAAGTCTGAAAATATGCTTGAATCAAATAAGATGCTTGCCGACCTTTAGCTATAGTGGTGCTAGCAAGGCCTCTGTGATACTAAACAAATAAAACAAATTATAACAATATCCTCAAGGTTACCACACAAGTAATAGTGCTGTATAAAAACTCATAAAAAAGAAATGTATGGCTACAATAACTGCATTAAAACAACTACAGTTTTCTTTTAAATAACCATGTACCCATGCTCAGAGGATATTATGCTATGTAGTGATTAGGCTCAAGAAGCAATGTCTTCTGGCCATTTGAGACTGAAGAAGGAAACACAAGGCCAGTTTCTTCCTTTGCCCTGGGTATGGGGCAACAATGACCTCAACTGGGGTGTGGAAGGAGCCGAAGGGTGCAGAGGCATGATGGGAAAACAAACTTCTCTTTGATAATTTTTTCTAAAGATAAGAAAGAGCAATCCCTTTGATGAAAAAATAAACACACGCAGTTATACACACACACACACACAGGCACACACACACACACACACACAAACCAAAACTAGAAGAGCCATTTAAATGGCTGAGAAGGAAGTCTTCTATTTTTAAGAAAGTGTACAGTGAAGGATCACATAATTATAAAGCACACCAAATTTATATCATTTGCTGAGTATTTAATCTCATTTATTTTTCTGACTTTTTCTGATTTGCTATTGGTGTAGAAAATTTGATCTATAAGACATTTCTGTGTTCCTGGCAGAGAAAGTAAGCAAAAATAAACATGCATGATAGTCATTTGCAAGCATGGCTCAAAGATAATGCATAATAATTGAATTAATTTGTGTTTGTAGAGGATGTTGGAGTTTCGAGGGAAACCATTAATAGTGTACCCCTTCCCTACCCAAGTTTGGAATCATATGAGAAATAAATACCAAAGTCAATGATATGCAAAGAAAATTAAGAGTTTTGTTATTGATATAAGCTGAATTGAGGACAGGACTATATGTGTGACCACAATAGGTTTGTTATTACTTTACCCTCTAATTAGACAAACCTAATTCCCAGTCATGGTGTGGCTGGATGGCTGCAGACTCGGCCCACTGGAGCCTGCTTAAGGCAGAATGTAGCTGAAAATATACGCATTATTTTGCGATTACTTTGAAAAGGGAAACAAGAAGGATTGAGCACAACATGGTCACTTCTTTCTCTCAAACGTAGCACCAATGTAAATTATTCCTCCTTCCCAGGAGTAGCTGAGAGAGTGGAAGAGAAGTCAAGAATTTTATCTTTACAGAAAGTGCTTTCTCATATAAATACAGAGGGTCTCATGAACACATGTAATTTAACACTCAGACCAACTTTATAAGGAAAAAAAGTCCTCTAAATTCTACGAGAGGCCAAAACAGGTTTGGCTCAGTGGATAGAGCATCAGCCTGCAGACTGAAGGATCCCAGGTTTGATTCTGGTCAAGGTCACATACCTTGGTTGCAGGCACATCCCCAATTAGGCGTGTGCAGGAGGCAGCTAATCGATGTTTCTCTCTCATTGATGTTTCTAACTCTCTATCCCTCTCTCTTCCTCTGTGAAAAATAAATAAAATATATTTTAAAAATAAATTATACATGAGGAAACTGAGACCAAGAGACTACTACTACTACTACTAATAATAATGAATGGCCAAATCAAAAGAGCTGGTAAAATATAGAATTTAGATGTGGGCTGGGGTATCTTTCTTCTATACTTTCAAAAAACAGTTGTTTTTTACTTATCTATAGAGAAAGCAGTGTATTCTGATAGCCCTAACTACAGTTTACAAAATATTCCTAATTCCATTTTTAAAAGTGACATTTCATTTCTAACTTCAGAATACATCTTTTGTCTTTATGGAAGGCATTTGATTTTATAGCCTATGTCAAACTGAGATAATTTGAAAGTCACAGACTGTGGGAAATTCACCTTATATTATCTTATGTCGATGAAGAAATGATCTTTGCCCATTTTGATGACTTCATCTAGTAAAATCATGGTGCAACTGAGTAGAAAGCATGACCTCTTTTTAGTTTCTAGGGCTGTTCTTCTGACTCTTAGATCAGCTGCACTTTCACAAGCAACTCTGAACACTGCAGGTGTCTCCTTGCAGGGGCCTGGCCCTCTTAAAATTAATGGTCTGGGAGAGCAAAGCAAATGACATCCTGTGAGCAGTCTCTCAAAAGAGATGAAAGGGGAAGAGTGTAGACTGAGTTAGTCTAGTTTATTCCTTTATCATCCTCACCATGAAGTAAGTTCCATCTCTTCTGTTGAGAAAAAATGAGTGAAGAACCAATGAAGGTTCCGGAAATGTACATTAGTTGACTTCCTCAACAAGGAAAGAATCAAGTATGTATATCAAAGCAAAGCTCTGATCACTCAGTGTCCCTACATAAAATAAAGCTCTTTCTAAAAATTTTATTTCCAAATTACTGTCACATTTATTTATTTATTTAGTTATTTATTTATTTTTAAATTCTTTATTGTTTTTAGTATTATATAGGTCTCCTTTTCCCCATTGATTTCTCTCCAGCCACCCCACCTCCCAGCACATGCCTTCACCCCCCTACTGTCTGTGTCCATTGGCTATGCTCATATGCATGCATACAAATCCTTTGGTTGATCTCCCTCCCCTTCCTACCTGCACCCTCTCTCTGAAGTTTGATAGTCTGTTTGATGCTTCTGTCTCTGACTCTATTTTTGTTCATCAGTTTACATTGTTCATTAGATTCTACAAGTGAGTGAGATCATGTGATACTTATCTTTCCCTGACTGGCTTATTTCACTTAGCATAATGCTCTCCAGTTCCATCCATGCTATTTCAAGTGGTAAGAGTTCCTTCTTTTTTACAACAGCGGAGAATTCCATTATGTAAGTGTACCACTGCTTTTTAATCCAATCATCTGCTGATGGGCACCTAGGCTGTTACCAAATCTTAGCTATTGTAAATTGTGATGCTGTGAATATTGGGGCGCATATGTCCTTTCTGATTGGTGTTTCTGATTTCTTGGGATATATTCCTAGAAGTGGGATTACGGGGTCAAATGGGAGTTCCATTTTTAATTTTTTGAGGAAACTCCATACTGTTTTCCACAGTGGCTGCACCAGTCTGCATTCCCACCAGCAGTGCATGAGGGTTCATTTTTCTCCACATCCTTGCCAGCACTTGTCATTTGTTGATTTATTATGATAGCCATTCTGACGGGTGTGAGATGCTACTCATTGTGGTTTTGATTTGCATCTCTTGGATGATGAGTGACTTTAAGAATATTTTCATATGTCTCATGGCTTTATGTATTTCCACTTTCAAAAAGTGTCTATTTAAGTCCATTACCCTTTTTTTTTTAAATTGGGATGTTTATCTTCCTTTTGTTAAGAAGTATAATTTCACTATAACTCCCAAAATAAAGCTTTATTGATTCACAAGTTAGATTTGAATTCTTTGTCTTCTGCAATCCATATTTCTCCCAGTCTTAATTTTCAGGCTTATATTATAAGAATACTTGGTTAACTCAAGACTGTGGATCTAAGTGTTCATTAAACATTCCCCGTGCTTTCCCACGTTTGTGACTGTGCCCACATTAAGAAACATTTATTGAGTACCTAACATGTGCCCAGTACTATTTTAAGCAGTTGGGATATATCTGTAAACAAAGTATACAAAAATTTTTGCCATTGTATATTCTCATTTTTTAGTTGGGGAGAGATAATAAACAGCATATATTGGAAGAAGTAAACTCGCAGCATTTTAGAAAGTGATATATGCTATAAAAATGGAGCCAGATAACAAAACCAGAGTACCTGGGGCATTGTGAAGATAAGAAGACATTTTTATTTTATTTATTTATTTATTTGTTTGTTTGTTTGTTTGTTTGTTTATTTTCAAATTATGGAGTCATTTATTAAAAGCCGATGGCATACAAGGGAGTAAAAGCTCACTAGACCTTGCAGCACCTAACAGCTTGCCATGCATGCCTGGCTTATATTGGCAGAAAATCACAAAAGTATCGATTACATCTTCGGGTGTGGAATGCGAAACCTGTTTTGAGAAAAAGCATTTTTACAGAAGCAGAATTTGAGCAACTTAGGGCCCCCTCCGCGCCGGGAACATGGTGTCCACGGCCGGGCTCTGCTGCGCGTGGCCGCTGAGCAGCCTCTGTGAGGACTAGACGCTGCTCCGGCTGCAACTCAAAGGGTGCATCTCTGGCCCGGAGCGCGGCTTCAGCCTCTCTCATAACCGGGCAAGGTCATCGCGGAGCCCTGGTGGAAGGTGCTGCTGGCCAGGGAGGGTCGGGAGCCACGCCTGCACCAGTGGCACCGCGTCTACCTGCTGGTAGAGGACATGAAGCACCGGCCCAAAGAGAACCTGGAGCTCATCCTCACGCAGTTGGTAGGGGAGCTTGGAGTCGGGGTGACTTGGTTTCAGTGAAGAAATCTGTGGGCCGTAACAAGCTTCTTTCTCAAGGACTGGCTGTATATGCATCCCCTGAAAACAGGAAGTTGTTTGAAGAGGAGAAATTGTGTTTAGTTTGTGGTACTTTTGGTCCTCAAAATGCTCATTCTGTTGTAATCCAGCATTCCCAATGATTTTCCATTTACCCAATCTGGTTTCTTCTCCATGTGTACTCTAAATCAAAATCATAGCTGGCTGGAGTGAAAGTTCTCATCATTTGAATGCAAAAGGGAAGATCAAAGGAGGGTGGAAAAGAAGTTGGATTTGAGGGGACTTGCAGATAGCTTACTACTTAGGTAGATTCCTGTCACTTTGTGAAACAGCGAGGAAGTAGAATTTGCAGGTAGGGTGAAAAACTGGGGGGGAAAATATGTGGAAGAGGAATGTTAAAGGTAGGTTGGGTTGTGAGAACCTCCAAAAAGACATTTTTAAAAGGGTGGTCAAGATAAGGTTTATTGAAAACTTCACATTTATTATTACAATAGTTTCCTAGGGCTTCTATGACAAATTACTACAAATCATGTGACTTACAGCAGAAATATATTCTTTCATAGGTCTGAAAGCTACACGTTCAAAATCAAGGTGGTAGCAGAACTTTACTCCTCTGCAGTGTTTAGGAGAAAAATCCCAGCTTACCTCTTTCAGCTTCTGTGGCTCCTGCCTGTCATTGGCTTGTGAGTGCATGGCTCCATTCTTAGTCTCCTTTTCTATATGACTTTCTCCTCTATGTGTTTTCCTTCTCTCTATATATGTCTCCATGTGTGTATCTTATAAGTACACTTATTTCTGAAACAACCAGATAATCCAGGGTGTTCTTATCTCAAGTTCCCTAACTTAATTACTTTAAATTAATAACTTAATTAATTAAAAGGTGATTTTTCCAAGAAGTGTGCATTGGTAGGTTCTGGGGGTTAGGATGTGGATATATGTTTTTGAGGCCACAATTCAACCCATTCTAACATCTGAAGAAAGATTTGGAGCAAGTGAAGAGTTAGCCATATGATATTCTGGATGAAAAATGATCCAGGTAGAGGAATGTCTTTAAGATGGGACTGTGCTTTCAAATGTCCAAACAACAGCAAGGGACTGGTATGGCTGTAGTACAGTGAAAAGCAGCCAAATACCAAGATGAGGCAACCAGGAAAATAAAAGAAAACCAAGGCTACAAAGTAGTCAAGTGAAGAAAAAGTCAGAAGTAATAGTCAACTGTGTCTATTTGTGCTGATATGTTAAGACCAAATCTGATCAGCTTGAAGGTCATGAGTGACCTTCATAAAATCAGTCTGGTGGAGGGAAGAGAAGTCCAATTCAAATCCCATCCATTGTATGAAGCAAACTCAATAAAATATCCAAGAAAGATTCTCTGATCTTACTATTTGCAGAGTAGTGAACTTGAATATTTTAATAGTTATATTTCACATATGTATTGGAATTTTTTGTGAGCTTTTTTATTTTCTTTACCTTAGCATTTTAAACATATTGTAAATAGAGCTTATTTGTAATTTTATTCACCATAGGCCTTAACATAGTACCATGTACATTTTAAGTGCTTCTTAATAAATATTCACTAAGTAAGTGAATGAACTCTTAATTTGATCATGTTATCCAAATTTCTACCTAAAAAGAGTTGTATCTTCTTTATTTAAATATATTTTTATTGATTTCAGAAAGGAAGGGAAAGGGAGAGAGAGATAGAAACATCAATGATGAGAATCATTGATTGGCTGCCTCCTGCATCCCCTCCCTACTGGGAATTGAGCCCGCAAACGAGGCATGTGCCCTTGACCAGAATCAAACCCAGAACTCTTCAGTCCATAGGCCAATGCTTTATCCACTGAGCAAAATATGCTAGGGCTATATTTTCTTTAAGTACAAATAACTGGCAAACTAAAGCAAACTATGTTCAATTTCTAATTTTCTCCATGTGAAATTTTGTTGAGAACTTGGCTGTATATTCAACACAAATCTTTAGGGGGGGAAAGATGTTTAGTCATGTGAGAAAAAGAGAAGAGATTCTTCTTTTTCATTCTATTCTTTGGGTTTTGCCTTATTGAAGTCATAGCATCAAATCCATTCTTACCATTTTTAATTCTAGAGAGGAATGATGACACATTTCCTGACATATAAGATTGCAATAGTTTTTGCAATTGCACCTACTCATAACAATCAAGAACCATTTGCTTTTGTACAATTATTAGTGTTTTTCATTGTTTGAAGGTAGACTGTGATGTAAATGAAGTGATAGGAAGAGGGTCTGCGAGGAATGGTTCTGAATCTATCACAGTGTAATCACTGTCTGCCAAGCCAGGAAAGCAAATCCCTTACAAGTTCTTGTTTCTCCCACAGCTGTAGCTTCTGAAACTCTTTATGTGAGCTTTGACATCTCCGCCTACTGCAGTGCTTCTGGCAGAAGTCACGAGTGGCTGTTTCTCCTCTCCTCCTGGTGCAGCCTTCTAGAACTTCACATCCCGCATCTATGCTATTACCACTTTGTATATTATGCTCCTTTCTCTCCTTAATACCTGTGGTGTTTCTCTCATTTAGCCAGATAAAAAAAACTCACTGATATACTCATTCCATAAATATTTTCTTGGTAGCTAAGGTACATCTGATGCTGGACTAGACCCTGAGACTGCAAAGGTAAAGACATGGTCCTGCTCTCAAAAAGCTAAAAATCTGATTATAAGACTGCAAAGTGTACACAAGGCACAAATGAGAATACATAAGAAGCTTATCTAATGCAGATTGGAGAGGTCCAGAAGCACCATTTAGAAGAGGGAATATCTACACTAAAACTGATTAGATCCCTTACTACCCATTAATCCCATAGCAGTAGCATCTAAATCTTCCTTTAAATTTTCAGAATCAAAATATTCTGAGTAATCTCTCTGAATACAATTTACCGTATTTCATTGTAAATGTATTTGTCAACAGTAACCAATTATAGCCCTTCATATAAAATCATTTGACCATATAAGTACCTGGACATTTAACTTTTATCTTAGCATGCACAGAGTTTTAGGGAGTTTGTACACAAAATGCTGAAGTGTTTCTTTGTCTAGTTGAAAACAATTCAATTTCCTTCTAAGTAATCCCTGAGCAGACTGCTTCCAAGTTTACTCAGTGACTGAGCATCCCACCCAGGACTGTGTCATCACCATAAAGACGTTTACTATACTCAGAACACTGCCATGTCAGCTTATTTATAAAGATCACAAATAACAATGGCCCAAGGATTAATCCCTAAGGAACTCCCATAATGACATCCATTTAAAATCCGACATGACACTGTTTAATAACACAAGTGGTGTGTGCCCTCTTAAGTAGCTAGCACACCAATTAATTAAGGATGATGCCATACCTAGTTCATTCCATTTAACCAGTACAGAAATATGCTCCACCAATTAGGAAATAAAATAATGTTTGAAGAAGCACTGAGTTATTTATCTGAGATGATCTGTAACTGAGATGACTATGTACACTCCCTCCCCTTCAGCGAGCTGTGACTATGTTGACATCTTCCTTTACTATGAAAAGAGAGGCATGATTTTAACTTGGAAGTGACCCTTCAACATCATATCCAGAATCTTCCCAGTGAAGGCATATTAGACATAATTGCAGCAGATGAAGCTTTGAAGTAATAATCTTGCATGCTCACTTAAATAGTTAATAGGACAATCTAGTTCATTGGTACTTCACAGGAAGTCATTTACACATCTTTACACCACTGAGTGAAATCTAAAATGCTGTCCAATGCCAGCTTTCCTTGCCAATTTATTTTCAGTTGAGGAGCTGCAAATAATTGCTGATAAAATAAGTAATGTGAAGAACCAACAGAAATTACATTGGCAGTATATGGTTCTAGGGGGAAAAGAGAAAATAACTTTTTTCTTTGTATTCAGAACCAGGGAGGTTGACATGAGAATAAAGGTCCTCTTATCTTGGAAGCTGTGGGAGCGGAGGGGAGAAACATGCTTTGGCGTCTCCAACAGCCCAAGATAATGATGATGATAATGCCGCATGATTGTACTTAATGATGTTGAATCAATTTATGATGATGATGATGAGTTTTAACTTGAACATGTAATGTCCCTTATTAGGAGGAAGATAGAAAGAAAGCATGAAGAGAAGGAAAAGGACAGTGGAAAAGGGGAGCAAAGAAAGAAGAGGAAGTAAAGAGGAAGGGGGAATAGATGACAGTATTTTCATGATCAATTCTAGTGAATTTAATATTATATTTTCATAATCAAATTAAGCATATGTATCTCTTTAAAATCTATGTGATGCCTTTGGTAAAGAAGTTATTTTCTAGAGATAATGAGATTCATTGCCATTATTAGAGAGAAAAAAGAAAAAAATAATAAGTAATGCTTTTATTTACTTGCTTTACTATAGCTAAGTGTCCAAATATAGTCAAACTAGACTCTGTTTTTTAAAAACTGGCAGAATTATGGTTAAAATGTTCTCCTTCTTGCAGAAAAGGCCAGATGAACAAATGACTCTTAGCCTCACAGGTCAATGCAAGCCTGGCCAGAGTAAATCTCTTTTCTAATATCAGAAACTCTCCAACCCTTAGACGCAGCTGCAGCAACCTCTTAGTGCAAGAGGAGGCTCTGTTGAGTGCTTGACATTTGGAAACTGCTTATTTCCTCCAAAACTTCAGCCTTTACAAACAGAAAAGCCATAAGTTCTTTATAATTACTATCTGGGACAAGTGTGAATTGGCTATAGATTGCAGAATTGCTTCTGCTGGATTTGGTTGATATTACAGGGGCTTTAAAAATAATAATGAGGACACTTGTGAGAAAGCACTCTCCACATTAGGATTTCAAAAGGTTTTAAAGCCTTAATTGCATAATTAGGCGCCTCACCCACCATTAAGAATGCACCTAATTATCAAACTGCTCTAGAAAATTAAGGATAGCTATCTTAATGCCACATAAAGGGAAACTGAGGTTCATAGAGATTGAGAGATTAGTTTTTGGATGTCTCAACAAACCACTCTAAAATTAGGGCCTCTGGTGACTGATTGCTTATGATAAATTTGAATTTACAGGAAACTGAAAT